CCCTCGATCCCCTCATGTTTTGCGTTGTATTGTTGTTCTGTCACATGTTCTGAGCGAACTATTGGCGCTTTATAAATACTGTATAATAATAATAATAATACTGTGTAACCACTTGCGCTCCGGAAGGTTTTTTACCCCCTTCATGACGATTTTTTGCTATTCAGCACTGATCTACTTTAGCTGGCAATTGCGCTGTCATGCAATACTGTACCCAAATGACATTTTTATCAGTTTTTCACAAAAATAGAGCTTTATTTTGGTGGTGTGCTACTCTGGAGGAAGGTGATCAGGGATTTTTTTATTTACACTTTGCTATTAGAATGAAGATCACACAGCGTGCTCCTGAACTAGAGACAGGCAAAATGATATACATGTACACGATTTTGCCTGTACGTGCTGCCCAGCCACAGTATATGTATTGCGGCTAGTTGGCAAGTAGGTAATTATAATAAAGCAAGTGTGTTAATGCACACCAGTGATCTGAATGGACCCTAACAGAATGAAGGATGCGAAAAATGTTGCATCATAGTGTGTGTTGATTTAAAGTAGCTCGTTCATTTGAAAGAGCTGCCAGCTCACCAAAGCAGGCCAAAAAATTGGACACACACTATTTTTTCTGATGCAGTACACCACACACATGGTAGTGCTTGCACTTGGGCCTTGGTGCACTGCCATATATGTGTCTTGGAGGTGGATTGCCTCAGTGTATTAGTCCTTTATCACTGTGCACTACAAAGAGTACCTCTGAATCAAGCGGGAAAATGTTGTTGCTATTGCTGCCCTCCTATAACTGCTAGTTTCCTGGTTGTTATATTAAACAAATGGCCTCAGTACTGACCCAGAATATGGTTGCAATAGCATTCAAAGGTCTTTATGTGCCTATTTTTTTCCTGGGCTGACTCACAGTATTGGCACAAGATGGTCAACATGACAACCATGCAACTAGCATTACCAGAAGGAGAGCTCTTCAGTGGCAGTCTCCATGTTGTGTGCCCATGTGTCCCCCGTAAATGGATGGAATGATGCGACAAAAGATCAATTAAAAGTTTATATCTCCTTTATTCTTGAGAGCAAAATCACAAGTAGAAAAGTGAGTGGTTATGAGTTTGCTATCAAGAATAAAGAATATATTTGGTGCTTGATTCCTTCTGTTCACCTAATCTCCACAACAAGCGTGTAGGCCCCAGTTTGCTGAGTCTTCCAAGATATCTATTCTACAAGAACTACTATAATGTTAGGTTTGAAGAAGAACTAAGCTCCAAGTCCAGCGCCACTATTTCTCTTCTTGCATGGTCCTGACAAATTTGGTAATATTTGGCAGAGCATCGCACCAACAATCAGTGGATCACGAGTGCAGTATCAGGCTCCTGCAGACATGTCCTACAGCTATATACCCAGACTTCTGTATGGGCTTTCTGTTTGAAAGCTGTAAGAAGTGTCAATGAACTACGAGAGTGCACATCAGCTCCTTTCAGTTCATTGAGAACTGCAAACTTCTGCCGTGGTGGCATATGGGGCTTGTAGTTCATTAATTCATGGATTCCTGTGAAGGAATGATGTGACTGTGTGAATGGAGCCCCATATAGCCATGCTGTTTTCAAATTGTGACTAAAACTGGAGAGTACAAAATATGGTGCAGCTGTGCATGATAGCCAATCAGCTTCTAACTTCAGCTTATTCAGTTAAGCTTTGACAAAATACTCCAGTTTTAGTAAATCAACCCCACTACATAATTGGGTGTGTAAACAGAGGTGGGGGTTATTGTGACTGTTAGTTTGCTTAAAAAGAGATTAAAACGCAATTGGAATTATATTATAATTAGATATAATGAAAAAGAGATGTCATATTTTGTATTTTAATGAAGTTATTCAGAGATGCCAAGTTCTTGATAATAATTGTGTTACTCTCTGCTTTTAAAATTACAAACTCATCCTGTTATTGCAGCTTCATTTTGTAAAAAAAAAAATCAGATTATTAAAATAGCATCTTGCAGGGTAGAAACTAAAATGTTATCTCAGGAAACATTTCTTACTTTTCTGCTCTCCAAACATTTTGGAAGGGAAATCAATAGAAATGGAAGCTTTTCTACCAATTCATCTGCCTTAGGCAGGCCATAGATTATGTGATTTTCTTTTCTGCAACCACAGGTTGCAGGAAAGAAAGTCGATCGATTCCCCCATCAACATCAGTTTTCTATTACAATGGTTTTTATTACATTTTTTAAACAGTATAAACAGAGGCAATAAAACACGCCCACGCAGGGGCTATCCATCAACATCAGTTTTGATGAGGGAATCCCTCCCACAGAGCTATTCTGTTCTCCTGGTGGGGGATGCAGGGAGCCATCCTTGTTGGGAGAACACTGGCAGCAATTGCATGCTAAAAATACAACATGTTGGTTGTACCCAAGACGATCGATGGATAAACTTGAGTACCACCATCCTGCCCATAGATAGATTGAATCCTGCCTGGTCCTTGCTGAAACCGACTGATTCAATCCATCTTTGGTCCGCTTAAAGGTGGACCATGCACTCCATGCAAGGTACACTTAATTAAGGACCCTCTTACCCATTTTAAACTGCTGCAAAAAAGATAAAAACAAATAAAAATTCTAGGGGAAAAAAAAGTTAAAATACCTTTCCACCAGCTTCCATGCTCCTTTGGGCAATGACACAGGGAATGCCAACTACCACAAATATCATGAGATGATGCTATAGCACAGCGCGGTATTGTCCTGTTGCAAGATTCTAGCTACTCCACATTCCTGTGCGAAGGATGCTGATGATGCCCTTACCTAGGTGACAAGGGTGAAACAGGGAATAAGGTAAGTATATTAACTAACTTTCCCCACCACCCCTACAGATTGTTTGTGGTGTTTTGTGATGGGTTCCTAACTGGCCTTACAATTTCAGTGTCCGATTTAAAATAGAACCCAGTACCAAATACAATTGCATAGTGAGTAGTATTTACCTGTGCCTGGTTTTTTTTTTTGTTAGGAAAAAATGTTCATGCACTAAAATTAAAGCCCAAATCCTGCTCAAACTTTCAATAGAGTGGGTAAGAATTATAACTTTTTTAAAAGTTATTATTGCTGTCTGTGTCCTCATTGTGGAAACTTCCCCTTCTCACCCATGTGAGGCCAATACAAAAAATGACAACTATGGCAGTCATGGGAACAGGAGGGATGGACAGCAATAAAAAAAAATTTTTTGCAGACGTTCTCACCATTCTGCGCTCTTCTAAAAATGCGTTATTGTTTTTATCTGTAAGCTTTTGGATATATTGTCCTTACAGGAAGCTAGGGTAAATCTTCCATAACAGGGGCACAGACAGCAATGAAAACCTAAATTGCAAGAAATAGCCAACACACTGCCCTCCTATCTCAAAAATATATTGGTATCAAAAGGTGTCATAAGTGGCCTTGAAGTGTCAATGGATACTATGTGCCTTATTATAATTTTTTAATGTGACCACTTTTGTACTGTGTCCTCAATCATTTTTTTATGGGCATGCGCAGTGTGCTGGCTTCTTGTTATAATTGAGCTATTACGTAGTATTACTGAAAGCCAAGCACTTGAGCTGAGGGGTATGGTGCAGGATGGAATAGACTATTTTGGCAATGAAAACCTGACAGAGACTTTACCCATTTTTCGTTATATGCAAAACAAAAAAGAAAACAATTGTGGCTGGCGTTAGGCTTTAACAGATAAATAATTCCATGTATGCACTTTGCTTCTGGGCCCCTGCTAGTTTAATAAATCAAATCATCCGCTGCAGTAGAAGTCTATGGGGCTGCTATTGCAGCAATTGATTCAATTCATACTGGACGTAGAAGAAGCACACATACAATTGAGCCAATGGTACTGATGAGCTTTACTGCTAATTTTAGGAGATCTGAAGAAGGGAAGGGGAAGGGAAGGGAAATTAGAACTTCACACTTACCGTCTGCTGTCTTTTAAGATACAATTCCTAGAGCTCTCCTTTGTGGTATTGGCTGATAGTAACAGATCAATCATTTGTGCAACTGAGAATCTCTTGGATGAAATGGAACATTGTGACCGATCACATCTCCTTTAAGTCATGCTGTTATTAGATTAAAATGAACTCATAAGACATGTCCATCCAATACTGCTATATGAGTTTTATGCGGAACTGGAATATCTTATGGCCAAAAGGTTTTCATACCTCTATGAGCTTGTTGGACATTACTTTTCAAACCCTTTGGTGTTAATATGGAGTTGGCCTCATGTATGTAGACCATAACCGCCTCCCTTTGTCTGGAATGGTGTTCCACAAGAGTGTGTCTGTGGGAATTTATGCCCAAGCCAAAAGAGCAATTGTGAGGTCAGGCACTGATGCTATATGAGAATACCTGGCTAGCAAATAACATTCAGATTCTTCCCAAAGGTGTTCAGTATTGTTGGGGATGGGGCTCTGTGTAAGGTCGGGTACACACGGCCCAAATATCAGCCAAAATCAGTGAGTACAGTAGAAACCCAGCCGACTGCCAATCTCACGACTGGCTTCTCTTGAATGGACATACTTGAAAACTAACAGCTGACTGCCACCCGATCAGCTTTCACAGCCAATGACTGTGAACGCTGACCAGTGTAATCTGCCGGGGGGGTTTCCCTGTCAGAACACAATGACATAGCAGGGGAGATCACTGCAGTAACTTTGTTGTGCTAGTAAGAAATTATACTGTTTAACATGCTTTAGACAATTGGGTTCCTACACGCCATACTCATCTAACTGTCTTCAAAGAGCTGACTTTATGCACAGAGGCACAGTTATACTGGAAAAGAAATGGACCTTTTGCAAACTGGCACAGGACTGAAATCATACAATCATATAAAATGTGTCTGTATGTTGTAGCATTAACAATACCCTTCACATATACACTATATTGCCAAAAGTATTGGGACATACCTCCAAATTATTGGATTCTAGTGTTCCAATCACCTCCATGGCCACATGTGTATAAAATCAAGCGCCTAGGCATGCAGACTGCTTCTAAAATTTGAGAAAGAATGGTTCGCTCTCAGGTGCTCAGTGAATTCAAGCGTGGTACCATGATAGGTTGCCACCTGTGCAATAAGTCCATCCGAGAAATTTCCTTGCTACTAAATATTCCATGGTCAATTGTTAGTGGTATTATAACAAAGTGGAAGCAACTGGGAGCAACAGCAACTCAGCCACGAAGTGGTAGACCACGTAAAATGACAGAGTGGAGTCAACGCATGCTGAAGCGCACAGTGCGCAGAAGTCACCAGCTGCCTGCAGAGTTAATAGCTAAAGATCTCCAAACTTGGTGTGGCCTTCAGATTAGCAGAACAACAGTGCGCAGAGAGCTTCATGCAATGGGTTTCTATGGTCAAGCAGCTTACATCACTAAGTTCAATGTGAAGTGTCAAATGCAGTGGTGTAAAGCACGCCGCCACTGGACTCTAGAGCAGTGGAGACGTGTTCTCTGGAGTGCTGAATCATACTTCTCTGTCTGGCAATCCGATGGACATGTCTGGGTTTGGCGGTTGCCAGGAGAACAGTACTTGCCTGACTGCATTGTGCCAAGTGTAAAGTTTGGTGGAGGGGGGATTATGGTGTGGGGTTGTTTTTCAGGGGTTGGGCTTGGCCCCTTAGTTCCAGTGAAGGGAACTCTTAAGGCATCAGCATACAAAGACATTTTGGACAATTTCATGCTCCCAACTTTGTGGGAACAGTTTGGGGATGAGCCCTTCCTGTTCCAGCTTGACTTTGCACCACTGCACAAAGCAAGGTCATTAAGAACATGGTCCTTACCTCAACCCAATAGAACACCTTTGGGATGAATTATAGTGGAGACTGCGAGTCAAGCCTTCTCATCTGACACCAGTGCCTGACCTTACAAATGCTCCTCTGGAAGAATGGTCAAACATTCCCATAGACACACTCCTAAACCTTGTGGACAACCTTCCCAGAAGAGTTGCAGCTGTTATAGCAAAGGGTGGGCCAACTCAATATTGAACCCTACGGACTAAGACTGGGTTGCCATTAAAGGTCATGTGTGTGTAAAGGCAGGCTGACCAATACTTCTGGCAATATAATGTAGTTTGAATTCATTCTGGGCAGCTTTCTATTTTAAAGGATAAATGCACTTTTAGTCTTACATTCTGAATTGCCATACATGGTTAATCAGTATCATTTTGTTTAATGCTGCAAAAATTTCAGGCTGGCTCTGTGTGATTTTCATATTTCAGCTCTCTCACAATGCGTGAAGAGTTGAATTGTCAAGTGGGGGATGGTTAATAGACATATTTATACTCTTTGACCAGAAAATGCTTTCAGTAAAGATCTGCATTTAAAGTAGCACTTTCAGAAGCACTTAAAGCAGTGTTATTTTTAAGAAAAAATAATTATGTCAGAGATTCACAATAATTGCCGTGACTACAAGTTTTCTTTGCAGCTCAACCTTCTAAATCCATTTGAGTTTTGAAACAGATTTTCCAATGTCACCGGCCACTTTATCAGGTACACCTTGCTAGTTTCAAGAAAATATCCCCCACACCATTACACCACCAGCCTGAACCATTGATACAACACAGGATGGATCCATGCTTTTATGTTGTTTACTTCAGATTCTGACCCTACCATCTGAATGTCGCTGCAGCCAGTCTTCCCATTCTCCTCTTACCTCTGACATCAACAAGGCATTTTCATCCACACGACTGCCGCTCACTGGATATTTTCTCTTTTTCGGACCATTCCCTGTAAACTCTAGAGATGGTTGTGTGTGAAAATCCCAGTAGATCGGAGGTTTTTTAAATACTCCGACCAGCCCATGTGGTCAATCATCATTGATACAAATTTTTTCCCTCACTTATCAACATATTGTTGTTCGTTTACCACATAAAAAGTAAATTTTTTATTGATCAATTTCAAAATGCAGAATGCGCTCGTGTGCAGTACTTTTTTTCATGTTATTCCCGTTCGATTCCACCACTCATGATTCGAAAATCGTTCGTTTGTACAAAAAAAAATCCAGCATGTCTGTTTTTTTTTTTGCCATAAATCATTGCATTTGGAGAATTGGTATGACCCCACTAACATTTAGAACGCTGAACGATCAAGTGTTTCAGACAGATTTTCGAGTGATTTTGTACCCATCTATGGCCAGCTTTAGTTTTTTTTAACAGTATTTAATTTACATATTTTTGTATTTGTGATTGCTTCCCTCTTATGGTCATCTGTATATGAGGGGATATGATAAGCAACCCTGATGAGATAAACTCAGTAGAATCCCAGTTTTGTTTCACTTTAAACAGTTTGTTTGGGCCAAGCTGGTCCAAACGAACAATTTCTATTTCAGAATGATACGGCTACAAACAACACTGTGATCCAACAGTAGTACGGACGACTTCCTATGCGCTGCCTCCTGGCCCTTTAAGGGTTCCGGAAGCTGGGAGGCGGGGTGGGGTTTTAGGGTCATGTGACTGCCGTGATTCGCCGTCACAGCGGTCACATGATCGGGAAAGGTCTCAATCAAAATAGGAGATTGGGACCTTTCCGTGAGTACCGGACATATGTGCTGGGATTGCAGGGCTCGTGCTCTCAGCACATATGTTTTTCTTAATTGCATGCAAATGTGCGGCCGCTCGGCGTCAAGGCCAAGAGTTTAAAGTGGTTGTGAACCCTTACATATACCAGGTGAAGTTACAGGCCTCAAGTGATACACAGAGATAAAACAAATCATCCTTCATAGACTGTACCTGTTTATCTATAGCTGTCTGTCCCCTACATCCATTTAAAGTGCATAATTTACGCAGGAATCTCTCAGCTCTGGAAAGGAGGTGTTGTAGAGCTGAATGTACATCAGTGAGGAGAGCTCTAAAAAGCTGAGTGGAGGGAATGGACACCCTCCCCCCTTCACACATCACACAGGAACAGAGCTGAGGCTGTCAATAACAGACTGTGCCCTCCCCTGTCACCTTTTTTCACTTGGTGTCTGGAAAACTTGTTAGAAGTGACTCATGTTGATAGCAGAGGAGCTAGGCAGCAGATAGACATAACACTTAGTGATCTGGATAGAGACAAGTACGCACTATAGAGGGGTATGCTTTGCTCATATTTTCTTGTCTGAGGTTTACAACCACTTTAACCAGTTCCTGACCACGCTAAAGCCAAAAGACAGCTACAGCACAGTTGGCTAGTTCTGGGAGGGCATCCTTTTTGCAGGTAGGGACACTACAGAGGGGGAAATCTCCTTTCTTGAGTTGCAGAGCAATAAGAAGCCATTGACCAGCTTTCGAGGGTTAAGAGTTGTTTTTTGTCTGAAATCGAATTGTCGTTTTATGGCCATATTGGCTGAACTTTTTGAAGCTTCTACAATAAAACACAGATTTGAGACTATAAGACCTGTAGCTAAACGGCAAAGGAACAAAAGTCATACGTCCCTTGTTGTGTAATGGTGTCACACTGCTTTCAGTGCCGTCAAACTATCCATTTGACTTCACTCGTGTGGGGAAATTCCCATTTGCCATTGATGTGCTCCTACTGATACATTCTCTTTATTTCTCACTTTTACCTAAGAAGAACTTTTCAGATCTTTTCTCCTATTGCTGCCGTTTGATTTTTTTGTATTTTATTGATGATATAGTCTTCAAAATTATAAATGAAAAATTGTGGTGTCCTGATGTTACATTGCATGTATTGTGCAGCACAGGCCCCTAACAATAGTGTGTTTTGCGGAGCTCTTGCTTAATTAACTGTGAGCTCTTTCAACTAAAGAGCACTCTACATAAAGCAAAGATGATTTCAGGATCAGAGATCAGAGATACCTGGTGTATGGCTGGAAGTTTCAGGATATTACAGATGGTTTATCTGTTTAATAAATCATTTTATTTTTCTGGCCATGGTTAAGGCAGATTCTGCAGGAACAGCAAATCTAGACTACATCCAGCTGTGATTTTGTGCAAATAGGGGGTATACACCATTAAAGCGACCCTAGGATTTGCCTATTGGAAGCAAAGCATTACATTTGCATTATTCCCCTCCCTAGCTTATACTTACTTCCTTTGCTTCCCTACTGCTCCATCGATCGCTGGGAGCTGAAGAAAATACCTAGTTTGGAGGATTTATAATTTATTCCTTGTAACAGCACTGGGCAAATCAACAGCTCATAGCTTATACAATTCTTTTATACAAGCTGAAAGGAGTGGCGGGGAACCAAAGAAAGGTAAGTGCATTCTGCTGGGAGTGGCTGAATTAGAGTGAACCTGCTATATTGTCCTCTGTGGGTTAAACACAGACTTCCTTTCAAAGAAATTATAAGGTGAGTGGCATTGTTAAACCATAATGCCCTAGAGCAGTGGTCTCCAAACTGCGGCCTTTGCTTGCCTTTATCTGGCACTTGGGGCTATTTTTCTCCCTCTGACACCAACAATGGGGCACTATTCTTGCTACTGACACCAACAATGGGGCACTATTCTGGCTACTGACACCAACAATGGGGCACTATTCCTTCCACTGATACTAGCTATGCGGCACTGTTCCTTCCCTGACACGAACAATGGGGCATATTTTTTTCACGCTGACACCAACCTGAGGGCACTATTCCTTCCACTGACACCAGCGATGAACATTATTCTTCTCACTGACACCAATGATGGGGCACTTTTCCTTCTACTGACACCAACAAAGGAGCACTATTCCTCACACTGACAACAACAACGGGGCACTATTTCTCCTACTGACACTAACTATGGGGCACTCTTCCTTATACTGACATCAACAATGGACACTATTTTTTCTACTGACACCAACGATGGGGCACTATTCCTTCCACTGACACCAACAAAGGGGCACCATTCCTCCAACTGACACCAACAATGGGGTATTCTTTCTCCAGCAAACACAAATGCTCCTGCGCTTGGGGATGGACTCGATGCAGGCTACTACCACATTAAGAATGTCCTGGAACATGCACACCTTGCTGCCCTCAAATAGACCGGGGGAATCCAAATGTACTGAATGAGGAAAGAACAAACAGAGGGCGCACAGGCTTAGTGCATTGCCATAAAAAAATGTTTAATAAGAAATAAAGTAGGTGTTGTACTCACAAACGACAATAAAGTCAAGGCACAGGCTCTGAGGAAGAGGCAAGTCCTCGAAACGCGTCAGTCTATTGGATGTCTACACTTACTATTGCGGACTGTCACTCAGCGCGGTGTTGACCCAGCTGTTCTTTTATGATGTGCCTTGACTATATTGTCGTTTGTGAGTACAACATCTACTTCATTTCTTATTAAACATTTTTTATGGTAATGCACTAGGCCTGTGCGCCCTCTGTTTGTTCTTTCCTCATTTGGTACTATTTCTCCCACTGCCACCAACGATGGAGTGC